CATGCACTGTAAAAACTCGTTGGCAATAAAAACAATAAATTAGACTTTGGGAAAAAATACACCATTACTTCAAACTATTTACTTACAAATGCAACTTAAAGTAAAAGAGCAATGATTTGTTTGTTTGTGCTTTTCTCAGTGTACTAATAATTTTTACACATTCAACTCAGTTTCTTCATACCACCAATTTAATGCTGTTCCAAGCTACTTTCAAGGCCCCATAAGATCAAATTTATATGCAAAAATACATTTAATACAGATGGTTTCGAAGTCAACTACATTATTCCAGTTCAATCCTACTCATTAAACAAATACACCCAAGTTCAGATTATAATTCAAATAGTTGGAAAGTTACTTAAGGAAACCCAGGAATTTCTCACACTGTCCATGCATGTAACAAAAGGGGAAACTTCCTTTTAACAGGAAGAAATTTCCAGTAGAACCAGAACCAGGTTGAGTGTGATCTGCCATGGCCGACTGGGGGTTTGAGAAGACAGAGCATACACACACACATTTAAGCCTTGACAACCAGACATGCTGTATGGGGGTCATGTGGCTAAAAAGGCAGTTTCACTGTCATTAAGTCGGTCACTGCTGAGTGATGACTGGCTCAACACCATGGAAGCAGAAAGCATCCATATTGAGGATGTAAAAAGTGGGTTTCCCCTCAAGAACTCTCAGGTTGACACACAACCAGCTCTCTGACCATGTCACTCACATTTCACACACAACTAACTCCAACGGAGCCATAGAGAAGTTCTGCTCTCCCACATTCCACACCAGGAAAACCAAATGCTACAGGAACAGAAGGCAGATAGATCTCTCCTTATGTGGGTTAAATCCTGCTGTTTAAGAGGAGTTGTGTCCACAATGCGTGTGTGTGTGTGTGTGTGTGAGCACACACGCATGAGATGACCTTCAGATGCTGCCAGCCAAACACTCGTTTCTCACCTGTGATTGACTTCTTCACATCATCAGTGCAACAGTGTAAAGGAGGTCAGCTCTCTGGTGAACCTCTGAAAAAGGCGTTGCTGACGTGACATTCGTGCAGGACGTGTTAGCATTCATGCTGCGCCGCTGCTCTAACTCCCTCCATCACGGCCCTCCAGAAGTCAGCTTGCAGGTTTTTCCCTGAGACAGCTGGGAGCTCCGAGGTTAATCCGTTAAAGTCTAAAGTCAGGGTTTTGTCTCATCGACTCTCTTCTTCTCTCCTCTTACAGCTTTCTCCACCATTCATTACCTCAGACACACACATACACACAAATATCAGTGCTTTGAACTGTGACTAAAGCCTCCTTGTGTCTCTGTATTTGTCTTTGATCTGTGTTAAAGGTTAGAGTAGCTTCTGCAGATTGTGCAGGACAAGAGCAGATAAAGTTCATGCTGGAAGCTTTCAGCTGGGAGCTGTAGGCTCACTGTCAGAGCATCAGGGAACAAACATGACTGCTGTTTGCAAGCAAAGACTTGGTAATGTGATCATGCAACCTTTTTATAAAATCTTATTCTGCTGAAAACATTAATCTTGCTTCATGGATGTGAAAAGTTAGCTTTCCAGAACTTTTCTAAAGTTGAATGAGATCAGCTTGCTTTCTTCTTTCAGACCCGATAATCATATTTATCCTTAATATTGCTCTGTTACCTACAAGTAGCTTTAACTTGTGACCTACATTTTCAGAAATATTGCTGTTGATATGTTTCATCACCTTGAAACATATCCACAGCCAAATCCTTCCTGAACCAGCCTGGTTTAGAAAAACAGATTTATTTCTAGATTAGATCACTGTCACACTGTTTTCTGGAATCTCCAGTTATATAACTAACTTCAGTTCATGCAGAACACTGCAGCAAGAAGTTTCAACATCACTCATCTTAAAATCTCTACACCAGCTTCCAGTTAAACAGAGAACAAATAGGTTTTAAAATCCCACTAACTTTAATGATTTGCCCTGTTTTTTATGTTTCTTTGATGCTAAAAGAATATAAAGAATGAATACACACATAGCTGTTTTCTCAAACTGTTAGCTCATGTATTTTTGTTGTGACATATTTCAATTATTTTCTTTTTCATTTTTGTAAAAAGAAAATAATTCTTCACAAATGTCATTTTCTCCCTTAATAATAAACACCTTCATTTGAAAACTAGATCTTGTGCACCCTTTAATTATCTTTGACTAATTTTCAAATTGGTTTGATGTTTTAGAACACCGAAGAGTGACAAATATGCCAAAAAAAGGAAGTGAAGAATGGGGCAAACACTTTTTCATTCCACATACTTTAAATCTGACTTGATATGAAAGGACTGAATTGTCTTTTTCTGCACAGTGCCTTGTGAGTCTCAGTTCTCGTATGTGGTGAACCAAACCGGCATGACAAAAATAAACTGAGTTGAATTTCAATAAAGAAATAAATTGGTGAAGCTGCCGGATCTGTTAGATGTTGGGTGTTTGTATTTAATGAAGATGGCTTCTTTCACTCCTCTTTCTGAGACTCTACTGTCATGAACTCCTTGTCCTTGAGACATAGCTGAACTGCTGAGTCCTGAACCGACAGCTGACTGTTCTGACCCAGAGCTGCATACACCACACCACTTACCCTGTGTTGCTGTTTAGTCCTTGGGATGAAGTAACCATGTTGCAATCCAAGAAAGGCAGGAATATTTTGCTCCTTAGTATCTCAAATACGTCAGCCAGAATCGACCAAATAGTAAAATAATATCAAGTCTCATCAGGCTTTAGTTCTACTTCACATCCTGTTTCTGTTTCTATTTCTCTTTCTGTGCTCACAAGAACCTCCCAGCACAATGTCGTATAAATGCAGCAATGACATCATCCAGATGGGCTTTAATGAGCCAAATGTAATATGTACTGCCAGCAGCAGCCATTAACTCGGAGTTGTTACACAATTTAAAAAAGGAGCCAAAACATTAGAGTAAAGCGTATCAACAGGGGATAAAGAAAGGAGGACACATTTTACTAGATCTAATTTAGAGCATTTATTCAGAGATGAGACAGAAAATATAACTAAGCCACAAACTAGAGTATGACTGGAATTCTGGAATTTTTAATCTGAGTTAAAAAAAAATAAAAATAAATCTGAACTTTTCACAACTGCCTGATATTTTTTTAAAAAAAAAAAGCAGTGTGACAGTTCATGTTTAGAAAAGTGTCATTCTGACAAAGAATGCCTCTGCTTCATTCACTCTCGAACGCAACTCAATTTTTAGCCAGTCGCTTATTTATTTATTATTTTTCAATTATGGCTTTGTGACTGCTGTGCATTTTAACACAAAAAAGAAAAAAAAAGAAAATGTAAAAAAATGTTCACATTTGGGTCCATCTTCTTCCCAAAGCTGCTGGGATTTGGTCCAGAAGCAATTTTCTGACAGCCATTTTTAATCCTTTGATTAAAAGCTTATCTCATAAAAACAGGCATCCAAGCCAGACACTGACTGCCTCCAGCACAACACAATAAATAGATAAATACATGCAGAAATGGTGATGTCTGTGAACAGGATGTAATGGGTCTTTGTTTATTTTTATTGTTTTTTCAACTTTATGTTCTCTTTTTGTTGAAGCTACATCTGGTCTGATGTGCTTATCTGTGCCACGTCGGCTGAGCTGCTGCCAATAACTTCACCTTTTCCTATAGATGATGCTCTTGGCCCTGTCTTTCAGAAGTTGACCTTGTCTGTCTTCTACAAAAAGCAACCAAAGGAGCTACAGCTTTGACAAACTCTGTTATTGTTGTAAAAGCCTGTTTCTCTCGTGGACAAAGGTCGGAGCGTTTGTCACATAGCCTCTAAAGGCTTTAGGAGCTTATCTGTAAAATGTTTTCCTCTCCTTGATGAAGAAAAGAGCTACTGCTGCCATTACCTTTTTACTTTTCTTTAACACAAAAAAAATACACCTGGATCATCTGTTTCTTTCTTAGTGTATCTGTTCTGTCTTCTCAAACCCCAAGGCCGTTTGCCCCAGTCAGCTGTGGTAGACGGCCGTTTACACTAAGAGATTTTCCTCTCTAAAGTTGCTACATGCATCCTCAGTGTAAGGGATTGCTGTAAGGTCGATGACACAACTCAAGTGACTGCCCACTGTCACCATGTGCTTGTCCAGGAGGAATGAATGCTGCAAGTAAGTAGCTGTTTCCATTCCAAATGTGCACAAAACTTTGTTGATGTAACTGAGTTTTTTATTTAATGGAAACACCATAATTGCTAAATTGTGGTTTTTCTGACGGATGGAAACACAGTGAGTGACTTGAAGCAATCTGCTTGATTTCTTCAGATGGAAAACTTTTTAAACTAATTTGAATAATAAATCTGAATTGGACTGCACTGTTTGATAATTAGGATTAATTGAAACACATAATTGAATTTAGTCGACTTTTTTGAGATGATGTGTTTATATGGGTGCTATTTAAGTAAACTGACTTAAAGCCAAACTGAATTTGGTCTGTTTTTCTCCACAGTCATCAACCTTTGGTCACATTGAGGAAATACTTTCATATCCATAGACAGGAGTTCAACTTCCTGTTCCAGTTTGCTCGGTCCAGCCGAGTCACAGGTCCCTCCTGAGATGTATCCTCTTGTTTCTGATGTGCTGGAGGATGTAGTGCCCCCTCTCCTCCACCAGGCGGACCAGAGGCCTGAGAGCCGTGTACCCGCCACGGCTTTCCCAGAACTCCTTGTCTACGTAGAGGGAGCGCAGCAGCAGATGTTCCAGACAGCCAGAGCGGAGCACGGAGACAGCTTTCTCTGGAAACCTGAGCAGAGACGACAGACGACATGAAACAGCTTCACCTGCTGCAGCTCCATGGTAGGGCTAATGCAGCTTCCTCACACCAAGAAGTTTCTATTTGTGCCCAAATTAGTTTTAGATTTTCATTAAGACGTTCTCATTCATTTTGTTGTGTTTATCAGTAAGAAATATAAATATATTTGAGACTATTTAATAACTTGTTTATTGAGTTTTTGAGTAGGGGACAATAGAACTACCAAAGCAGGATGTATTCTTTAGAACTATAAACCAACGGATCATTAATTATGTCTAAACTTTAAACTTATAGAACCCCCCCAGTAAACCCTGGGGCTGTTTTACATCACTACTTATTCCGTCTGTTAAACTTATTGCTGTTGCTAATTGTCTAAGAATCTTTTAGAAGAAAAGCTGAACAGGAGGTGATGATACTTCACAGTATTAAAATTATAATACAAAAAAAATAAATAAATGAATTCAGTCTTACATCTGTTAAAAACAAGAAAGGTTGTGGTTTTTTTTTCAGTGATCATTTTTGGTGTTAGGCTCCAATCCTTTACACACAAAAAATACTCTTTTAAAATTGCCAAAACAATATCTGTAGTGAAACCTGTTTAATTTAATGTCATTCAATGTTAAGTTAATCTACTGAGGCTATCTGGCAAATGTTATAATTTTGTCTATTACTGGCTTACTGACGCCATCTTGTGGTCGCTTTTATTACTACGACTTGTTTATCAGAAAGGAAGAAAGCCGTTGGTCCATGTATTCAGAAAGAAGCTCTCTTTGTTGTGTTTTCTTAATCTAAGTGCAGAAACGGCATCGTCTGTAAGTACTGTTCTAATTTGCTTGTCATATAAATCATAATTTGTAACCCGTTGACATGTTTTATGTGACGATAGATATTTTTACTTGTGTTAGCTCGGCGCGTTAGCCTAGCTGGCATTCATTTTCTGTACCTTTGTGTGTTACAGTTTTACACGATTCTCATTAAACCCTGCTAAAGAACCAAATGGAGTGCTTCTTGGTGGACGGATGGGAAAGTGTTTAGCTACCTGTATAGCTGAGTTACTGTTAAAAGTCACAGTGCTTAGCGAGGCCAGGACAATATCTGTTGATTTTAGCAATGGTGACTAGAAAGGTTGTTAGATGTTTTATGTGCGTCCTCCTGTTTCGCAATGTAGATGTGGGCAAGTGTGTGTGTGCGTGTGTGTGGGTGTGTGTGCGTGTGTGTTCTGTTTGTTCAGCAGTCACACTGTTCACTCACTCATCAATGCCCTCAAGCAGCCTGAAGTTGAGGTTGCTGCTGGATTGCTTTGGTCTGCCAGCATTATCTATGAACACGAGTCTGGAAGGATCCGTCTTCCTCACCTGAGCAAACAGACGCACAGGTAAACAGATGGGATTGTCCACTGTGCTATTATTTATTATCCTTTATTTCACCAGGAAAATCCAACTGAGATTAAAAATCTCTTTTAGAAAAGAATCCTGAAGATATTAAATATCGCTTTAATGGAAATGTACTAGTAGAGGTCTACCAATGATTCTACCGGATCAGCATCTGCGACAGATATTTTTATTTTCTGATATTTAGTTTGCAGGTAAATATTTTAGTCTGTAAACTAACATATTTAATTTGTACAGTCTGTATGTGTTTTATTTCCACTTATTTCACCTGGACAACAACCATGCCATGCATTAATGTGGCCTGGATCAAAAACGTTGGCATTAAGATTATTGTACAATTATTACATAATGAAAAAAAAATTAATTGAAATAATTATCAACTTGTTCAGTAATGATAATAATCATTCCATTACATTAAAACAACAGAGATGAACAGCATGCTACAGTGTAATCTAAATTTGGAGTGTTTTTCTTCAGCTCCAACGTCATGTAAGGAAAATGAACAAAGGAAACTGGTTCAGTCCATTTCAGCATATTAAATGTCAGCATTCCCATTACTATGATAATAACGACATGGCAACAGCATGAAAAAGAAAAATTGCAGGACTTATACAGCTATTTGAAACAGCAGTTTCTGTAAGACTTAGATTTTAAAACGGCACTAGTGACGTATAATTGCTTTGCTCACCAGGATGTGAACCAGCTGCAACTCCTTGCTGTTGCCACACTTAATGTTCAGACGGTTCTCCACGCAGAGTTCTGCTGGATCGGGTGTAAACCCACAGCAGTTCCTGTCCAGACGGTCATTTACCTGGATAAGAGAAAAAAGGAGCACAAGAAATATGTCAGATAAAAATAGAATAAGATACGGCTATGGGATAATTATTTTCTTGCCGTTCCTGGAAACAATAAGTCCTCTTTATAAGTCTACCATAAGCTCAATAAGTCTACCATAAGCTGCTGGGTTTTGTTCTCCAGATCCATGTAAGTCTCATGTGTGACCTTGGTGGTCACTGGTTGTTTGCAACATTCAAGAATACCTGCCTATAAAACGATATTCATAAGGAGGGCTTGTGGTTCTGGTTGCCTGGTTCACATGCATCATTTTGCTTCAGCAAAGCTCATTCTGTAGAAGCACTGCTGCACAAAGTAAGAGACATTAAACACCAGACTTACCTGCCGTACCCACCAGTCCACCTCTCAACCTGCCCTGTCACCATCAACCAATCAGAATACTCCCCTGACGCTCAGTTCCTCCACTAATCACTCTGACTCTGATATTCTCAATGTTTTAGTCTGAACATTGTCACATTTACCAATAAGTCCCACCTCACCAGCAGCATTTTGGAGGATTTTCACTGCATTTTGTGAATCCCTGATGGTAAAAGAATTACAGTAGTTCAGCCTAGAAGGAACGAATTCATGGACTAGTTTTTGAGTATCACCCCCAGACAGGATATTTCTAAATTTGGCAATATAGAAAGAAGGAAAATCTAGGTTCTAAGTCAATGTAGGTTTTAAGTAATAATCAACATAAACTTTAAGTTTTAGGACTTACTACCAAGAGTGAACATCAGCTCTCTTTCAATCTATTTTGAACCTGATTTCTGGGATGCTGCTGTCCATGGTTCTGAACAGAATTCAAAGATGATGCAGTGAAAAAGTCTCACAATAACATAACTCATGCTTTATTTGTTAATAATCAAGACTGTTAGTATTTTATTTTATGATAACTTGATTTGATATTTTTCAACATTTTAAGGATTTTATTGTTTTTTTTTTTTATGTTGTTTGATTGCAATGGTGCATTCATTGACAGAATGTAGACTAGGAATTCTTATTACTTTTTTTTTTTTTTTTTTTTTGCAGCTTCTGTTTTCCAAAGCAAATAGCAACAGGTTGGGCTGGGGCCCTGTTGGACCCATCAGATCCACAGACTTAGGATGGTTTCCAATGTCAATCAGTCAATCAATCAATCAATCAATCAATCAATCAATCAATCAATCAATCAATCAATCAATCTATTTTATTTATGAAGCACTCTTCATACTAAAAACAGCTCAAAGTGAAGTACAGATCATTAAAAATAAACCCACATTTCTCACCACGGAGGTCTTCTCATCAGGGTCTTAGTGTGACTGTGTGGGTGTAAGGAGGAACTAAATCAAGTTGACAGAATGAACATCAGCATGTACAACAAGAAAACAGGAAGTGGTGTTTTATACCATAGTCATAGTGCTGATGCATCCTCTAATTACAATAACTGAATGTCAGAAAGCATTGGAGAAGAGCAGGCTGGACAACAGAAAACTCACAAGGCAAGAACCTGATGAGGAGTGGAGGAAACTGACGGACATCTTATCTGCTGGGGACGTAAAAGAACCATGAGAACCAGATGGGAACAATCAGCAAAATGCAGAGTAGCTGAGGCATGAACTGAGGGAAAATGACCCATTGTCACAGAAGATTAACTCAGAAATCTGCAGAAGAGACAACATAAAGCAAAGACTACAGAGTAAGGGTGTTTTCACGCCAGATAGTCAGGGGGACTCAGTTCAATTGGAGACCAAATGTGCAACATTTGTTACATTTCCAGCTTCAATGGTTCACTTTAACCTGTTTCCCTCCTCGCCTGTGGTGGTGCTGCACCAAGAACCACTGAGGGAAACAACATAAAAACCTCTGAAGACACTGAGCGCAACTTCCTTCTTCACAAAATGCAAACAAAAATGGAGTGGAGTCAGATTTTAGTGGTTGTAGGATTTCTCTTTTGTCTTTGTCGAAAGACCTTGACCCATTGTGCTAGACCTGCATGTTTGTTTTAGTTGTATTTACCCAGAATGCCATGCACTAGAGTCAATTTCCTGCTTTTGAAGCGGTCTCTGGTCCGCTTGGCATTCACATTATGCATTAAAACTGAACCAAAATTCCCTTCAATGAAACCCGGACCCATTCACACCTGGAGCCACTCTGCTCTGCTCCTGGAGCCACAGGACGTGTCGAGGCAACATGTAGGAACAAGTGTTCAGCTCAATCTGAGGATATTAGAGGTTGGCCATGTTACAGGGATCGACTACTGGCAGCAAGGGGGAGAATCTGCCTCATGGGTTATTCATATTCAGTCTCACAGACACACACACGCACATACACTTTAGAAGGAGTTTAAATACACACTCCATCTCAGAACAAAGCAGCTCTAAATTACTACTGCAGGCTGTGAAATCAGAGGGTCCATCCTGTTTCAGACATGTCAGAGCGAGCAGAGCAATACGTTCAAAACACTGAGACAGTAAACCATTTACTGTACATGCAAGGAAACTAGGCAGAAACAAAATAGACTCTCAGTGTGTGATGACGTCCAATAACTGTACCTGATCTCCACAATAAAACGTCTTTCTAGATCTTTTATTTTTCTTTAGGTTGGAAACCATGGAAACATAACTCTAGTGAGATACAGGCTAAAACAAAACTGAAAAGAAAACATTGTAAAAATGACAATATCAATATATGCCTTTACTGCTCGATGCTGAATTACCAAGAACCACACACATTTTCTTCTTCTCCTCTTAATGTTTATTCTAATACACAAAGGATTAGCACAGCTTCAGGATTTGTTTAATATTCAGTTTCCTTTTCAGGCTCTTATTTGTGTCTGTGTGCTTGTATTGCTGCTGTCCTGGGGATTTTGATGTTCAGACTGAAAAACACAAATAAATACAAGTTACTGTGAGGGAATAGAAGCTACAGAAGTTACTATTTGAGTAAGAATAATCCCCTAAAGTGACAGAAGCTTAAAGGAAGTATACATACTGCAATGGGAAAAAACAAACTGAGACAGAGACAGCATTAGTGCTGGCACACACACACACACACACACACACACACACACACACACACACACACACACCACTCATGTTCTCATTTAGCTGAAGTTTTTTTTTAGCATAATCACATTAATATTAATCATCTGCAGGGTTGTCATGACATGGTATCTGTAGGTGAATTATGTCATACACATGGATGTATGAACTGTATATATACTGTACATTGAACATAAATACAATTGTGTTTGTGTTCGAATCATTCCTCCATTTCAAACCTTCAACATGTACCAATAAAATATGGGAGCTAATTGGTTCTCACAGCAACTACAGTGACTTCAAAGGAGACAACGTAACAGCGTGAAACATTTACGCTTCATTTTGACCCATATTTTCTACTGAAGGAGAACTGCATGCACACCAGACCAAGCCAGCCACACTTGGATTTTTATGAAGAATCTGGTTATATATTGTTGTGTTAAAATGTATGGTCTTCCCTGGAAACATGGAGAAGCAGAAAAAAAATGGCTGTGGACCAGAATGAGACAATTTTCACCTCGATCAACGTAGACTGGCAACTGGCTGGTCGGAAACTTATTGGTCTGATCTCTTTTTGGTCAGTAAATGCACCGTCTCTGATTGCTACCCGTTTGTGGTGATAGCAACAGTGGTGCTGTTTCACATAGTCAGAGGAAGCAGAGATATGTAAGAAGCTATTTTAAAGTAAACCGCAACATGTTGATTGATTCAGGCCAAAGGAGAGAGAGCAAAACTTTCAGCAGAAACCAGTAAGGCTGGACAGATTCCAGCAGTGGTGCTCTGCTTTATCCGGTGGAGCTTTAGACTCTGTCTGTTTTGGAACATTACAAAATAATGTAACCATCTCTGTTTTATAGGAAATACAGAAAGATTGAAAACATCATCTCCATAAACTTTTTGTCTAAACTGATTAGCCATAACATAATGACCACTGACCAGCAACCACCTAATATTCTAGAACATTCTACTAAAACTCTTGGATCTGAGTGTTGCAGCGGTGGAAAAGAGCAAAACAACCAGAGGAACTAATCAGAGGAAATGTGGTACAGCTGTGGAAAAAAGAAACTGAGGGAATTACAGTGCCCATAAAAATATTCATCTCCTCAGATTGTTTGCTTTAGGCTTTTGTTGTTTTTACAAATCAAACTCTGTCCCCTAAAAGGGGGAAATTATATAAAATCAACTTTTTTGAGCATTGTATTATGTTAGAAAAGTTATTCCCTCATCAAAAATGTTCCTGGATTGTTGCTTTGATTCAGTCATGGATGTTTGAGAAATCCTTTAATCTCCAGTGGCAACCATTTGGGGGTAAAAAGCACCAATAACAAACCTGCCCTGAATTTTATTTAGGACTATCTGAGTAAAGGGGGCTGTAAGTAACTGTATGCCACATTTTGGGACTTTTATTAGTTAAAAACTTTAAAAGCAAAATATCACTTCTATCCCTCATCATAATGAGGCATTACTTTGACTGCCATAGAAACTCCCAATAAAATACATGAAGGTCAGAAGTTGCAGCAGGATCGAATGTGTAAAAGTTGAACAGGTTTGAATAATTCTGCAAACCGAGTCAAAAGAAGAAAACGGAAACATGTTCTCTTACCTGTAGTAAGAAGTCAAACAGAGCCAGTCTTCCCCACTCTGCATGCAGAACCCCAACACACGGCTCTGAGCTCAGGCCTGTTTGGTTCCCACACTGGGCCCGCAGCAGCTTCTGGTACTGAACCCAGCTGAGAGGCACTGAGTTCTGGTCGCTGTCTTTATCATCCAGATGCTGAATGTCCGGGTCCCACCAAACTGCCGGCCTTGGCTCACCGTCAGTGAATCTGTAGGGTAGAATGTGATCGCGGAAAGTTCTGAGAACTGCTGGCAGACTTCTGTTGAGTCCGAGGACTCTGTCCAGGTGGAAAGCGAACACCTCAAACCAATCGTCAGGGCGTTTGACCAGGGAGCACAGCCCCCGCTGGCAGCGGCCGCTGTGCCCGGCTCCAGGCTGCTGTGAATCCCTCAGCGCTGGGATGTTCTGTGACAGGTAATCACATTCAGATTTTACAGTTTAGTTTTCATTGAGATTTAAAGCAAATACAAGCACAGTCTGGAAAAAAAAACAAAGTACACCCTTCAGTACTTAATGAAATGATCTGGTCAGAAACACAAAACAGATTCCACATATTAAAGAAAACACAAACAAAACTAGAATCATTGTTTACCAAACGCTTCCTGCTTACATCTATGATAGGAAAGATAATTTTGCTTCCTGTTGGGTTTTTTTGTTGTTTGTTTTTTGAAGCTGCTTGGTTGTCAATTAGATATTAAACCATTTGTCCTTCCTATCATAAATAGCCAATTACAGCCAGTGTTGTTACCAGGCTGAGCCCCTTCACCTCACTCTGCAGTATTTGCATCTCCTTCGGTAGTTTCTCATTTGTTTATAATGGTTAAACTTTTTGGGTCTTCTCCTGTGTCTTCAACTGGACCGGAGCTGGAATGTGAGTGAGTTCTTTTTAAACAGCTGTTTGCTGCTCTACAGCACGCAGGACAGAGCTTTCACAGTGCCAACATAGGAAGACATCAGCATGACCTTGCAGAAGCTGCCAATCATTTCAGGACAGCTGAAAAAGGCCAAACACTTCAAACCCATCAGTCAAAAGTGAGAAAATTGCAATGGTCCAGTCAAAGCCCAGAACCAAACCCGACTGACATGTTGTAGCAGGATCTTCAGAGAGCTGCACAAAAACTATGGCTGAAACTAATGCGTTCATTTCAATGAATTACATAGATTTTAACGATTTAAAAAATCTAAGACAATTAATCAATTTATTAATTTTTCATGTAAATGTCCTGAGCTGGAACCTTTGTATTCAGGTGTTTCTGGTACGCCCATAAATCTGATGCACGAGCAACATCCTCAAACAAAAGTAACGGAGGACGAAGCCACTTCTCTTGGTCCACTGTTTGTTAATTCTTCCTTATAAAAAAAAAACAATCTGATGGGACACAAACAGAATACTGTGTGTTCAAGTTGTGCTAAATGGAGTTAGCCTATCATTGAAGCCATTCAAGCCTAAAATAGAATCTCCATGCTAAACATATAGCAGCAGCACAGATGTTCCAAATGCTAATGTCAGCGTAAACTGTCAACATGTCTAAAGAAGTTCCATGAATGATCAGAAGTTCCTTAAACAGTGGAAACCTAAATGGATAGAATAAAACTTTGCTCCACTCTGATGGTGTAATAACCTAATATTAACAGATTAAAAACAACAAATATCTTGTTGTTGAGCTCATATGTTTATTTATTCAATAATTTAGTAGCATAAAGGGATGGAGGAACATACCTGGTGAGGTGCAGGCAGATCTAGCGCCACTTGGAGGACTTGTCCATGAGCCGGCACCCTGCTCTTACTGACAACTTCCCCTCCAGCCAGGAGCTCCATCTTCTCTATGTCGTCCCTGCTGAGCCAGTGCAGATGCTGCAGGTCTCCACCTATCCTGATCTTCCTTTGGTCAACATCTGAAAAGTCCGGCTCTGTGAGGCCCTGACACCAGTCCCTAACACCCTGCTGAGCGGTGGCTTCGACGTCCGACACAGCCTCTCTGTCATCCAGTGACAAATGACGATCCTCTCTCAGATCACTAGAGGGCATTTCCTCCTTACCCACACTGCCACGTTTCCCAGAGTGCTTTGAAGCTTTTCTGTATCTTTCCAAAGATGTGTGACTTTGGTTTTGCCTCTCCCTGGTCTGGCTGTCAGTCATCTGTCTGACTGTGACCTGGTGTGTGTGTCTGTGAGCAGCAGCTTTCCGGACACTTTTTATGGTGTCTGCTGCAGAAGACTTGTGGTCTGTTGTGGAAACATTTCCTTTGAGATGTGTGTGTGTGTGTAGAGTGTGCTTCACCACAGCAATGTGGCTGCTTGGCTTAGTTCTGCTCTGGAGCTCCATGTTGTTGCCTGTAAAGTCAGAACGCTGAGACTGAGTGAATACATCCGCCATGTCTTGGTTTCTTTGCTTCTTGTTGTGAAAGTCAGGATGATTCCTGACTTTCACAGCTCCTGCAGAGTTCGCTACAGCCTTTAGCAGTGCCGAGTGTGTGGACATCTCCTTCCCAGAGCTGCGTCTCCAGGTCCTGCTATGGATGTGAGGAGCAGGCTGCTGGAAGCCGCTGAGCGCTGCAGGCTCCACTACCCTGGGTTTCAACTTCCCCGCGGCACTCAGAATTCTGGACGGCTGCCGGTCAACGTCAGCAGGCGGCACAGGCAGGGGCAAAGTGACCGCCATCACGAAGATCATGAGGAAGAGGAGGAGGAGAGGAGAAAGGAGAACAATCCATCTTGGGCCACAGCAGAGTTTAGACCACACTCTCCAGTTCTGAGAAAATCAAAAATACACAAAAGGAAAGAGGACTGCAAGTCAGAGAACAGCAGAAGTATAATTATACTGGACTAGGATCATAAATCCCGTAGTTAGCAATTTTCTCTAAACAGAAAACAGTGTTTATGCATCTGGAAGGTTCCCTCAGCTCAACTTCTGGTTGCAGGACTGCAGTGTGTGTGCGTGTGCGCGTGTGTGTGTGTTGTCCTGTCTGCAGGAAAAGACACATTTCAAGTTTGAGACTATAGCCTATATAGCAGCTGGAGATCGCTGTGATATTTAACCAGAACAGACATCAGAGCTGCAGCCGTGTGTGTGTGTGTGTGTGTGTGTGTGTGTGTGTGTGTGTGTGTGTGTGCGTGCACGCGCTGTGAGCAGCAGAATAGGAAGCTAATGCTTCCAGTATTGACAGGAAAGATGGACCACCCTTCTGAGACCAGCATGAATGTGCCAGGTCCATAATTCGGAGCTGCCTTTCCTTTCCCAAACATTTGGTTCTGCAGGTGGTTTGATCCGACACACTGCCACTGAAGGTAGGTGACAAGGCAGCAACAGAGCAAAAACAGGCTTCAGGAGATCAAGGATTTGCGTTGAAACAACTTAAAGTGTTTCCACACCGGTAGTCCGGTAGACTCGGTTCTATTGGGGACCAAGATTGCAACATTTGTTCCATTTTCAGCTGCTGCGGTTCAGTTTTACACTGCACTGCATCAAATGAACCCAACCCTTTGAAAAACCTGTTCCCCTCTTCACCTGTGGTGGCGCTGTACCAAGAACCACTGAAGGAAATGACTTGAAAATCTCTGAAGACACTGAGACAAACTTCCTTCTTTATGAGACGTAAACAGAAAGAAGGAGAGATGAAGACTTTTAACCGATCGACAAAACGTCACAAATCAAGATGACTTTTATTGCCTTAGACTGCAGACATTCCCACAAAACCTCAGCACCTCTGGAAAATAACTTCATTTCATTTGGATTGCTATCCAGCAAACCAACACAATTTGTAGCATATATGAAGTGCAAGAGAAAACACACAACCTGTTAGAGCGAAAGGAGAGTCTATTGACATCCAATGTCAATACATGATCAGACTCCCAGTTGAATTTAGATCTGGAATTTAACTTCTACTTTTAATTCATTCACTTCTTTGTGTTGGTTTGTCACAGATGGGAGAGAATTCAGTGGGTATTTCTGCAGGCGCCGTAAATCAACCATCTTCATTCAGAGGCAGGAATGTTTCAGGGTCTTGGGAAATCTTTCCAACCTTCCAGCTGTTAACCACATTCCCAGATTCTCACCGGGCTCTGGGACTTTAGTGAAAGGATCCCATTATTCTTCACCTGGAATGTAAAGGAAAATCAGGCTCTATGTGCAGCAGCAGTGTCTCCTATGGTACACACACTTATGGCCCCATAGACCCAAAGAGGCATATGTGTGTGTGTGTGTGTGTGTGTGTGTGTGTGTGTGTGTGTGTAATAGACAAAGGAATCTGTCTTCCCATAGGATGATATAATGTTTGATCCCATGTGGAATGTTCATTTGTAGCAGACTTTTGCAGCCATGTTTTGTTGCTCTGTGTGTTTTTATGGACGTCTGGGTTCATTCCTTCAGGCTCAGCCTGCTGATGACCTCAGGGAGTAGTTTTAATCTTAAAACGTTTATTATGACATTCATAAGGAATGTCTTCATTCCTACAATCTTGGCTTAAAAGCAGTGAGACAGCTCCTCCTATAATGTAAAAAACAATCTTATTTGCTTTTATTTTCAATATGTAAGTTTTTTTTCCCCACTTGTTTTTTTCTGGATTGAATGTTATCTCTGTGTTTGTGCCTCTTTGTTGTTCTTGTTCTGACTGCAGCTCAGCACCAGCAGCTTCCACCCACCTGCTGCTCTCACATATCTGAATATTTGGATTGGAACCACACTTCTCATCTTCCTCCAACCACCTCATCTGCTCTGACAAGCTGCAACCTCCCAGCTCTTTTCTTTTCATTTTCTTATCTTACTTTTTTTGTTTCTGTAAATGACTGCAGGGATGGTATGCAGCAATATGTTGAGACATGCAACAGGTGCTGCAGCCAGCCAGCCTGTCAGTCAGTCAGCTGACTCGCCTCAGGAGAGGATGGAGCAGAGGGAGGACAGGGAATCGGGACAGATGGAAGAAGAAAAACACTCAGTTTCCAGAGAAAAGGTGTATGTTCAGTGAAACAATTCAGAGAGAAGCAGAGAAATTAGGTTGCTGCACTGAGTGATTATGTTGAATAAAAGACATTGATGAACTTTCTCACATACCGTGACTTTATCACAACCCAGTAGGGTTAAAGTTTTATGCCGATATGTTATGGTTCTATTGTGATAACCATAAAATCGCAATAAGAACTATTCATTACTTTTTTAGGGTACCTGTATGGCTGACACCGCTGACAAATAACCAGTTTCAATGACAGGAAAACAGTTTTAGGGAGGTTTAAACAGCATTAATTAGAATTTATCATTACAATGACAGATCATATTTATTATCATCATAAGAAATTTCTCAGAATAAATGATAAACAATACGATAAATGCCCACCCCTATTTGACAACACTTGGATATCTCCCATGTATTGCTAATGTTTACATTATCATAATCCAACTCACCAAACTTTTCCTCTGTTTTATGAGAACTAGCTGAATTCTCTGGGAATTTTCCTGAACCGCAAACAGGAAGAGATCCACTGTATTCATGAACTGCTAAGTTCATCCTATATTTCTGCTGCACCAGGAATAAAGTCCAGAAAAAATGCAATGTATATGAATATACTCATATCTTTAACAAACAGAAAACGACCTTGTGTAGATTCCTTTGTAAGTACAAACACAGAGGTGTTCTTCCTGTGTAATGAAATGTGAGCGGTCCACGGCCGTGTTCTGCTGTCAGCAGCTTTCTGCTGTAGAATCAAATGACCGCTCACATCGCCCAGGTGGATTATGTTTTGTGTATTTTTATTAGGTACAAGACATACACTCGATGTGTTAAACAGCATAAATTGTAGTGAAAAGATCATTTATTTCACAAATATCACACCAATAATCCTCCCACTAAGACTGTCTGAAAATACTAAGCTATATATATTTACCAACATATTATTATTTGTATATTTATTTCATTTTTTCTAACTGCATCAGTGATACTTTTATAGGTATTTATCGTCAAACTTAAGTTTTTTCAGTAGTACCGGAGTACTACCAGTGTACTCTGGTAGCCAGGCAATGACATTTAGTTGCCAAATTCACTGTTGCGTCTTTGTGCAAAGACAATAAATTAAGTGTAAATCTAAATTCAGTTCAGAAAACAAACAAAATAATTTACTATATAAAATGTAGATTTAGTAGATGGATCAAGCTCCAGATCCAGAGAGGCAGAAAATCATTTCACCAATTTCTGACTGGACCAATCAGATGTCTGTGTATCTGTATAGTTTGAACATCTGCATACTTGTTGTGTGGGGGCCACTAGTCAGTCACTGTTCAGCAGTCTGGGAGCGCATATGCCAGTTGCCCTGGAAACACCACTATAACAGACGTGAAGGCAGCGCTTCTAGTCAATACTAAGACTCCTCATGGGACTGTATGAGGAGTCACATCATAGTCCCTCACAACAGAGATGTCTCTCTAAGGACGACTTCCTCAGCTGCTGAAAATGCAAGTTAAACTCACTCCAATATAAATGAAGTTTGAACCAAGTTAACAGATGGTACGGGAAAATGTTCAGCAAGCATCCATATAACTAAGTCTGCTCATTCCATTTATACCTTAAAGGTTTTGGTGACTTTTAACAACAATAAACTGAGTTTCTGTAGCAGATTTAAAAGATAAACATTCTACTTATGTGTCAGTGTGTGCATGTTTATGTGAGTGTGTGTGTTATCAGTAAATAGTAGCACAGTAATTTACTGTACTGAAGTTAAGTAGATAATCACAGTTTGTTCAGACACCAGTAACCTGAGACGTCACTCAGAAGTAGATTTATAGAAGCAATTCTCTGCACAGAAACTAGAAAATTGCACACTATGGAAGTTTCTATAATTTACAATTTGTCCATTGAAGCTTTCCTCCAGTATGAATATTTTAGTTTAAGTAATTCTGATTCCAAGTATAATTTTACATCCCATAATTGTTGAAAATGTATTTTTTTATTTAGAACTTTATAGGCCTACAGCCCCTGAGTGTATAACACATTAAAATATTGCAAGACAATTGCTGTTGGATATACTTAAAGAAAAAAAAAGTTACACTATATGAAGAAGCATCTAGCAAATTAAAATGTAAATCATACAATACATTTTAACACCATATCTCCATGATTACACTCCTTCATTCTTATATGCTTAAATTTTTAGTGAATCATAGAAATAAAGTGCAACGTGTTTCATTTGTAAATGAAATGGTTAAGGAAAATCTCAGAACCATACGGTCAAATAAAGTACTTTTACAATGAGCTTCCTTCCATATTCTGTTTATATGTTAATTTGTTCAACAAGCAAGAAAAAATGAGCATTGATGTTACTGATGCATATAATGTTGTTTATGAAGGCTAAGACATGAACAGAGGGAGCTTCTTTTTAATGAAAGTAGCTGAGCTGAGAAGTACGTGCTGAAATGGATCTTTGTGCCATTTAGGCCAGAATGGGAAACCTCAGTCTGTTAACCTGTCAGGACTGCAGTGGTTTATTCTGCTGACATTTAAAATATGCTTAAGATTTTTTCTCCTCCTCCTCATTCTTCTGCAACCTTTATACTCAAAACAGAAAGGATTTGCTATCTGGTGACAGATCAAAATCAATAATTGTTCAAATTAATTTCAGCTTTACTTTCAAACAAATCAAAGCAAATATTGCAAAAGTTTAATATCTAAGATTTTTGTGTTAATCATAATGACAAATTTCATGTTTCTTGTTTTTTTTCTCTGTCTCATTGAGAAACCAGACATCAACACATTTTATTTACC